ACACTTCAGCATTGCTGTTCATCACTGAAGGAAGTCAGGACAGGAACTAAGCTCAAACAGGGCAGGATCCTGAAGTCAGGAGTTGATGCAGAGGCTATAGAGGGGAGCTGCTTACTGGCTTGCTTCCCAGGGCTTGCTCAACCCGACTTCTTATAGAACCCAGTACAAGAATGCCAGAGATGATACTCCCACCGTGGGCCTGGGCCCTCCCACATTGATCACTAAATGAGAAAATGCCTTATAGCTGGATCTCATCCAGGCATTTACTCAACTGAGGGTCCTTCCTCTGATGACTTTAGTTGGCACAAAAACCACTTGGTACAGTCCTCGTGAATTATTTTAATGGATCTGTGTTTAAAATAAAACACATTTTCGCTGCATGTATATAGATACCATATGCATATAAGTATGTGTATATGTAGATGCATGTGTATATATGGTAGTTTCTCTGAAAATAGAATGTGATGTTTAGCCACGTGGGATATCGGGCTAGTAAGCATCAGTGGCAGAAAGTTTTAGTGTATGAAGTCTGCCCTTTAATAATCTTCGAAATATAATGAACAGCTGTATTCATTACTTAGTTGCTTACTAATACAAGAAGGGGCTCCCCATCATAAATAGTTTGACTTCACCTGTAATTAAAAAGATTCCCACCTCCCAACCATGTTTTATGCTTTGTGGCTCAAGCATTTTCACAGAGTACCCTGTTTTTATTGAAATCTTATTACATCAATTACTACAAACACTAAAGGAACAAAAAAAATGGGGCTATTAAATCTCCATCCATGACAGCACATTTTCTTCTGAATAGAACTGCTTTACTATTTGTCAGCCATAGAATTAAGCCCCAGTTAACATCATTCACGTTGAGGAAATTGTTCACTTATGTTAGAATTTTAAACAACCACATTTTCCCAATCTTTTTATCAATGTGAAAAACATACTTACACTTTTTTTTCTTTTATACTTCAGGAGAAGAATTCTCTTCTTGGGATTTAAATTAAATTAGTTTGAAGCTAAGTAAAATGACAACTAAACACTAGAGATTTTCTGCTGAGTCTAAACAGATGTTTCCTCTGTTAGAGTCCTTTTTATACACAGTACTTCAGCTACAATTCCTGCTCCTTTCCTTTTACAAAACTTCCCATCCTTAACACTGGTCTGTGATACAAACATTCCAAGTAACTTAAACTCTACTGCTACTACTAAGGAATGAGCATTTACCTGTCTTTAGATGGGCAGCATGGTGTGTGTGCTGTCTTCACCTTGGACAGCTGTTCTCACTTTCTGCGTGGTACTCTTTGTTTTTATTACTATGTTTGCATGGAGCATCAACACTGTCTCAGCCAGCATGTTAGATACCAGGGATACAGCAAGAAAGAGGCAGGGAATAAGTAATTAATTAGTAATTATTTCACAATACCAACTGGCCTTATGCACAATGGACAGCACTAAAGGATGGAAAGAAAGAGCAGGCTGTAAAAATGGGAAGTTGGCTTTCATAGAGGATAGTGAGACTAGTTAAGAAGCTGGAGGAGAAGACAGACAAGTGAAAGAGAGTAAAGTGAGCATGTTGCAGACCAACATAAAGGCCTTGGCTTGTAAATAGTGTCATCATTTACAGTGACTTAAGCCAAGAAGAAATATGATCAGATACATGTTTGAAGACACTCACAGTAATATGTTCCTCGTACTTGACAAAGACAGGGTTAGAGGAGCAAGACCAAGAGGGCTGGTGCAATGGTCCAGGTCGTGCCTAGCCTTACAAGAGCAGTGGGGAAGGTAGTGAGGAGATGGTTAAGTTCTAGTAAATCTATAATTTTTATTTAAAAAAGAATAACTATTATGGTGACTTGAGAGTTGGTTCAGTGGATCAAAGCACTGGCTGCTTCTTTCAGAAGACCCAGGTTTGATTCCCAGTACCCACATGGCCGCTCACAACTATGTATATAACTCTAATTCCAGAGCATCTGATGCCCTCTTCTGGCTTCTGTAGGCCCTGGGTATGCATGTGGCGCACGTACATGCAGGCAAAACATATGCATAAAAGAAGGAAATTAAATAAAATTGATATTATACTAATACTACTAAAACCCATTCCTCATCTGTAACTGGTTTAAGATTTCTCTCAGGGCTTCTGTGAATATATCATCTGTGGTGTATAAAAGAGCAAGCCTTTAAGGCTTCTGTTGTCAACATCTTCAGCTAAGTGGTTAAGAGGCATTGTTTTTAAACTTGTAGGTTTTAGGTTTTCCACTAATGTAGGAAATATCTGGTATATATAAGAATGTTTAAAATGTTTCCTGAATTAGTGCTTCTCATATACAGCTCCCAGGGCTGGAGAAGACTTTTTTTCTGTTCATTATTTTGTAAAAAAATAAAAGGCAGAGCAAGTAAGGTGTGGGCTCCAAGAACACTGGCTTCAAACTGTGGGTGACCCAGCTGCAATTCCAGTCTTCTGCCCCTCCATTTTTGGAGAAGTAACCTCACCTCCCTGAACCTCATCATCCTGCACTCTTATAAACTACAGACAAGACTTTTAGGAACATCCTGTTATTCTGCAAGCTAAAAACCACCTACCCAATGCCAGGTGCATAGTTTGAGTGCTGCAATTAATAATTGCAATGTTTCTTTTGACAGCAAGAGTGAGTAGAACACTGCTGGTCACATAAGTATTGCTTGCCTTTGTCATTAAGTCCCCTTAAGCTGTTCCCCTAAAGCTTGATCGAAGTCAAGCTGGCCGTCATCCCTGACAACCTAGATTAGAAGGCTACTGCATATTCCTAATCTTCAGTAGTTTGCTTTCTATAGTTCACTTTAAAAAGGGGTGGAGGTGGCCAAAGGCAAGATCAGATCATCCAGTGTATTTTACCTGTTTGAGTTGTACTTGTTATTAATAAACGGTGAACTGACAGTGTTTCAATGCGTGTGGCAGTATTTATCACCTTGATAAATACTTGATGCAAAACCTCCCTGACTCATCTTTCTCACTGTGCATCACCGGAAACCTTATTCTATCCTGCCAGGTCGGCAGTGAACTGTCATTGCAGATCATGACCTCATCAGGCAGTTGAAACGAGAGCAGACACTCAAATCTCACAGTAGAGCATCTGTCAGGGAACCATGCTAATCATCAGAATGGAAAGCACCTTGAGCTTTTACCAAATTTTCGAGGCTTGCTGTGTGAAACAACCTGCTGCAACTAACTGTATGGAATGGATTCTTATTGCTGTCTGTGGAACAGCACAATTTAAGGCTAGTTGGATCTGAATGCCCACATTCTGAGGTCAATGCTTTCTATAAAACGGGCAGGTGGTACTGGGGTATAACTCAGCTGATAGAGTGTTTGCCTAACATACACAAAGCTCTGGGTTCAACTTTGAGAGCCACCTGGCCAGCACGGTAGTACATGCCTGGGATCCAGCACTTGGGAGATGGATCAGGAACTCACTGTCATTTTGGGCTGTATAGGCCAATTTGAGGATAGCCAGGGATGTATGCAATTCCGTCTTAAAACAAAACACTGAAGTCAGGTGATATTTTGTGATCATTATCACAAATGTTTACTAATAACAAATAAAACTGTCTGGACTTCATGCTAACATTTGCTTAGTAGAAGATGATTTTGAAGCAGTATATGAAACAAATTTATCACTCAAGCAATGCAAAACACATGCATTAAATGTAGTTGTCTGCTGGATAACTTATACATTGGCATTTTCTCCCTCCTAAAAGTACTAGAAAAATCAGCACCACTATTTTCTCATTGGTCTTTCCATAGTTAATGTTGAAAACACATTCTTATATGACAAATGTATCTGGTGTGTTATTATAAATATAAAATTAAATATTTCTTTGTTTAGAAATTAATTATAATTGCAAGAAATGTTTTCAAAGACTAAATCCCAACAGCATGCAAATTTCTGAAGTAACAAATTATTTATTGTATGTAAGGACAAAGTCCTCATACTTAAATGATGCCTAGATGTAACTAGAAGATCACTATGTCAACAAGGTTAAGGAATAACTTTCAAGTTAATTGCTTTTGTCCTAATTGACTAGTTAACAAGCATGAATTATATATTCATGAGCACACACACACATACACACAAATGGGAAACATCAAATTAAAACCTGTTTTCGAAGTAATTCTAACCATTTCTCTTTGCATTTAATAATCTTTGTTTCTACCTATTTTATACACAAGCATTAATATTAATACTTTGGAATAATGAGTGTACATCTTTGGGAAAATATAATCAGTTAAAAATAAGCTAATGAGAAAAATGCCTGTTGCCATTACCAAGTGCCGAAGATGTTCTTGAAGTACATCAGGTTTAAAGTAAATATAAGATTAATGTGTTTTCCCCTCTGTATTAGCATGAACAGTTTAACTTTATGTTCTCAAATTTCACATGACTCCTATACAAGCAGGGATTCGAATTGATAGAGTTTTTTGGAGAATTTTCTAAGTAATATTTGTTAAATATGTCTTATCTACTAGTTACATACATAGATTTGTCCAAATTTTGTTTCTTAAAAAATTTAAATATCTCCAGCCCCCTGTTTTTTTGTTTGTTTTTATTTGGAAGAGAAGCAGTTAAGATATTTCCATTTGCATTCAGCCTATTTTTATAATCATTCCATTCAGGGGATAGTCATTTAATTGGTCAGATGTTTAATTCCACTAGAGAACATTTTCCCTGCCATTTTCAAGGACTAGTTGTTGTTCTCTGTGTCTGGAAAGGATTCATTGTCATCATTCACCTTGAAGGCTGTCTAAAAGAATAAAACCATCCCATTCATTCTAGGTCAAAAATCTGAAGCAAATGGCTGCAAACACTTCTATTAAATTTCCAGTATAAACACAGCTACGGCTAATATGCCCTTTACTTGATTACTTGAATGATTTAGGGATACATTTGTGTGTATAAAATCTTTCAAGGTAAATAATCTGTTAATACAAATTGTGGATTCTCTTTTTATTATTTTTTTTTCAGACCTGATGGAATTGGAACTGTTTCAATCGAAGAAAAAGAAAGGTTTGAGGAGATAAAGGAGAGGCTTTCTTCCCTTTTAGAAAATCAGATAAGCCACTTCAGGTATGCATTGTATTTGATGGAAGTGTCTGTTTTCCCAGTCATCCTTTATCCTCCACCCGCCCCCACCCCAAGCATTTTTTGTTGTTGTTGTTGTTAAATCTTCTTGCCACCACTCAAGAATCACCAGTAGGTTCTAACTGCTCAAAGTATATGATCCAGTCTTCATTCTGTGGTCCGCTTCCCAGACAGTCATTTGTTTCCTCTGTTTTTGTACCTTAGCCATTCCTGCTGTAAAGTCCGTCTGTTCTGTCTCATGCTTTTCCTTTACATTTTCATCCTTGCACAGTATTTTTTTTTTCCATCTCAGCACTAGTGATTTTTTTCTTTCTTTTTTCTATACCACCAAGCAAGGAGATTCTCACCTCCATGATGGAGGCACCCTCAATTTTCCTGTCAAAGAATAGCATCAAGCCTTTCAGCCATTATTTGTGCTTTTCATTTGTCCCTGTGTAAGATGGTTAATAAATCCATTGCTTAAGCCATTAGTTATCTTTGGATTCACGACATAAGCTATAGCACGAGTGCTCCTTGTTCAAAAAGATTAGACATCAACACTAATAATCACTTGCAAAGTGAAAGATAAACAGCTGGATACACTTCTTGCCCTGGTTTTAGTTAGTCTCAAATAACCCAATGGTTAGAAACGTAAATATAAATATGCTAATATACTTTCTTCTACTACCACTCCTATTAGACTCTATGAAGTATTATTATAGCAATTAATAGTGTCTTGTAGAACGTCTATCATGTTTCGCTTGTATGGTTTAAATCATTTCAAAACAATCCGCAAACTACAGACATACATTCCCACCAAATTGTTGTTTACATTTGAACATGTCCACTCTATGCCTCATATCCTTATCTGCAGTATGAAAAGCTGAGCGATTGTGATTTTTAAAAATGATACAAAGCAATAAATTCTCACAAAGAAAGGGTTGTATCTGTTGGTTTACACTAGAGGCTTTTAGCAGTAGCTGAAACCATCAGCTCTGGGATGTACAGACAGGGGAATAATCAGACACACAGTCGGTCACTAGTGCTAGACCCACACGGGAAAATCACTGCATCCAAAGAGTGTATGAGGAAACACCATCCCAAAAGCATCTTGGAATCCAACTTGCAAACTTAGTTATCTACATAACTTTTCATTTTACAAATAAAACGTAGTCATAAAGAAGGTTTTTGTATTTGTAAAGGCCTGCTTCTGCAGTCACTGTTGTTAAAAGTTTTGCCTTTAAAGGGTGTAGAGAGTCCCTTAAATGTATTTTTTGAGTCTGTTGTTGGGGTTTTGTTGTCGTTGTTTTTGTTTTCTCTTTGGGGGCCTGCCACCTAGCACCCAAATAAATACACAGACACTTATTCTTACTTATGAATGCCCAGCCTTAGATCTTAGATTGGCTTGTTTCTAGTCAGCTTTTCTAAATTAAATTATTATCCTGTTTCTCTTTAACTACATTTTGCTTCTGGGTTTTTGTTTGTTTGTTTGTTTTGCCAACCTTTCTCTATGTATCTTTCTTTCCTTCTTACTCTGTGGCTGGCTGGCTGGCTGGCTGGCTGGCTGGCTGGCCCCTGGCATCCTCTTCTCCTTCTTTTCTTGCTCCTCGATCTTCTCTAGATTTCTCCTCCTAATTATTCTCTCTGCCTGCCAGCCCCCTCCCCCCCCCCCCCCCCGCCTGCCTCTTCACCATCTCTCTATTAGACCCATCCGGTGTTTTAGGCAGGCAAAGCAACACAGCTTCACAGAGTTAAACAAGTGCAGCATAAAAGAATGCAACACACCTTTGCATCGTTAAACAAAGATTCCACAGCATAAATGAATGTAACACATCTTAAACTAATATTCCTCACAGTCTTTTTTGAAGAAAATCAATCTTGTAATCCCAGCTACTTAAGAGGCTGAGAGAGAAGACCCATCTAGAGTGATAGGCCCATCTAGCTAGGTTAATATCAAGAACTTAAAGTCAACCTGTGCAACTGAGTGAGACCCTGTCTCAAAAGTAAATGGGAGGAGTTAGAGATAGAAGGTTAGTGGTTAGGAGTGTTTGCTGCTCTTCCAAACGACTTGGATTCAATCCCTAGCAACCACATTGGATGGTGGTAACTCATTGATAGTCCAGTCACCTCCTTAGTATAGGCAAGGCCCTCAGTTTAATTTCAGTATTTGGTAGAATAAGGAAGAGAGAAATTTCATATCATCAATAATGACTATAAAAAGTAATTTAGGCCCAATAATATTCTAGAGATTATGGTTTATGATCTGATAAAGCCACTGAAGATCAGAATGCAAAACTAGCCACAGCCATAGAAGCTGGGCAGTGGTTGCACACACCTTCAATCCCAGGACTTGGGAGACAGAAGCAGATGTGAGATCAAGGCCACCCAGGGCTACATGAGAGTGAAACAATCTAAAAGGCTCATGCCTTTAATCCCAGCACTAGAAAGGTATATAAGATAGGGGTGAAGCATTCAGTGTTCAGTTTTAGGCATTCAGTCTCCAGCCACACTGAGGATTTGTTGGAGCCACAATCACCCCCCTGTCTGAGGTAGAGCTACGAGCTGGTGGCTGGCCACTTTGCTTTTCTGATCTTCAGCTTTAACCCCAATATCTGTCTCTGGGTTTTTATTATTCGTGCTGCAAGAGATGGATTTCAAGAATAGATAGAGCAAACTAAACAACAAACTTCTCATGAAAGATGGGTTGAAAAGAAAAATAAGATGATACCTTGGATATATGTCTCAGTTTCCTGACAGACATGGAACATAATGGCCAGAGGAGTGTTATTTCCGAAGTCATAAATACAAAAGGACAAGTGTAAGAACAGAAAATATGAGGAAGGAAAAAACTGGAAAATATTGTAGAAGTCAGTCAGATGAGCAGTATCTAACATAGACATTCCCAGGGAAAAGAATCCTAGGCTGTCATTGTAAAATCAGAGAAGCAACTTGTCTGGTGTAGAGCACCTCCAGAAAATGAGTGTGCAGAAGGATTTACAAATCCGCCGAGAAGCACTTAGATCCCCAGCTGTCTTTCCTACACAGCTCTCCTATACCAGTATCTGTCTACATAGTCTCAGAAAGTGAAGGTTCCTGGCCAGAGATGGAGGGCACAGGAAACATCACCCATGGTCAAAGGTTACAATAGAGATTACAAGCCTCTATTTTGAAATTATGAGAATGGTATGCCTCTTTCAACTCATAGACTTGACTCTCCCAAAGCTAGTAGCCAGTCAGGCATGCATGGTGTCTTCTCCTGAGTATTTCACTAGCCTAAGAGAAAAAACCCACAGCTGTAGATAGTGAAGGCTTCCCTAACACACCAGCGAGAGGCACCTCAGCAAAGACCATTGTCCTTAAGAACTGCCTACATGCACACAGCTTTTTTGTTTGTTTGTTTTTTTGAGACAGGGTTTCTCTGTCTCTTTGGAGGCTGTCCTGAAACTCTATCTGTAGACCAGGCTGGCCTCAAACTCACATAGATCCACCTGCCTCTGCCTCCTGAGTGCTGGGACTTAAGGAGTGTGCCGCCACTGCCCGGCAGCACACAGCTTCTTTTCAATTTCTAATAATATACTTTGGAAAATAGTCATTCATGTAGATGATCAGACACTTAAGAAAAAGTGTGTAATATGGAGCAAAGAGGCCAATGCAAGTTAATAACGAAGGGAGGTAGCAGTTTGGGAGTAGTAAAGATTGTGTGAGGAAAGGGAAAGTGGAGAGATCTTTTATTGAAGTCTTTAGAGAAGTTTAAAGAGACGGCACCTGTCAATCAAAAAATAAGATTGAAAAGTTAAAACTCCAGAGAACAAATACAACTCTAGAGATGGTGTGAAAATGTGATGAATACAACATATAAACACACTATTTAGAGTGATTTCATGAAAACTTCCAGAAGGCACAGTTGTTCTCTTAATTGTTTAAGGACCCCCAGTCAGGCAAAACTGACCCTTGCCTTCACCATAGAAGGAATTTAAAGATGGACCAGTATGAAGCAGACCTAGAGTTAATTGAAAATAAAATAAGAAGCACCAGAGAGTAGGGGTATGGACTTCTCAAAGAAGAGAGACCCCTGGAATGTCTTAACTGTAGCCATGTATAGTTCTGGCGGTTCTCATGTTATGTCTCAAAGGCTGGCAAGAAAAATTTTCTCCCTTTTTAATCTCTTTGTTCAATAAAGGAAATTCTAGAGTGGCTATGAAAGTACCAAGGTTGGGATTACAATTGATAAATTGAAACCATAATCAGTAGGATTGAATAATCAAATTAAGACATGTTATTGTGCCCAGACTCTGACACCCCCCTCCAAACCACCAAGAGACCAGATCTCATGCAAAAGCAAAGAGACTTTAATTTTATGAGTTAACTTGGGTCCTCTGTCCATCCAACACAGCAGGCGGAATAGGAGGGAGCCCAAGCAGTAGTGGGGTAGGGCATATATTGGGAGTAGAGCAAGGGATTGTCTGAGGGTCTGCTAGTTGCATAGTAACAGTCTGAGGATTGCGGCCACTCTGGGATGGGGGAGCCTGTCCTAAATTGATTGGTCAGCTGCAGCTGCAGAAAGGTTGTTATGCCTGGAGGCCATCCAAGGGCCATTGTTACCTACTGCATTCCACTATTATCAGGAAAGCACACCCAAAGCCTGCCAGGGGAGCTCATTTCTGATTGGTTCCTCACCACATGGATGGTATCTGGCAGTTTCTTCCCAGTAATTAGGGTAAGGTGGGGCAAGGTGGTAGTGGGGGGGGGGTCTGCTCAGCACATCCTGCTGAGGCAGGGGTATAGGGGAAGCTGTAGCCACGCCTACTTAGGGGCTGGCTACAGGTGTGCCTGACCACGCCCTCACAAAATATTTGTCCTAACACAGGGGCCTACATTTTGTTGGTCTTTTATGCAGCCTGTCATGGCTGCTAAAGCAAGGGGCTGGGTGAGGATCTGGGCCCTTCAATATCTTTTACTGTAAATGGAATTCCAGATAAGATTCCCAGAAATGTGTAGTTTACATCTAGGCAAGGGAAAATACCACATAAAGTGAAGCATAAATGTGATTTAGTCCCATTTTAACGTTCTTATTTGAAAATATCTCTAAAACAAGTAGAAATATTGTCCCTGCAGCAAATGCTATTTGTTTTGGAATTCTTGATTTTTCTCCTGACTTGGCCAGAGGCTTCAACCAGATTCTGAAGTTAACAGTCCCTTTTTTCCCCTGTCCCCATAATCTTCCCTGTTTTTATTCTTCCTCAGCTAATGTAATGTGAATACTCCATGATGGGCCCAAATGGTAAACCTCATTAAGGAGATAAAAATTATGTATGCTAGAAAAAAGAAAAAGGAAACAGCATTATTCAGGAGGGAAAAGCAACATAAAACTGCAGTTATTTCCAGTGTGGTGGCCATAATCTGGAATCCAAACATTAGAGAGGCTGACCAGCCAGAAACAAACAAAAGCCATCCAGACCTCTTAGTATATCTACAATTCAGAACAGAAATCTGAACTTTTGAACACTGTTGGTAAGGCTGGGGCAATACAGCCCACTTTAGAAACTCATTTAGTGTAGAATTGTCAACACCTGCTGCACATAGGACCCGCTCAAGCCTAGGAATTTTCCCTAGTGAAAATAAAGTCCATGCAGACTAAAGAATGAATGAATGTCCATACCAAAATTGTTAATAATAAAATGAAAATTAGCCACAGGAGCGGCCATTAAGGAATGCACAGGGATGAAATGTGAGCACTCAGACACACAAAAATGTACAAACTATCTATGTAGGATTCTAGACATGTAATCTTATTCCAAAGATAGAAAGTTAATCTCTGGTTTCCTGGTATAGGAGGCAGGTGATAAATTTCCATGCCCATGGTGACAATTCAAAAAAAAAAAAAAATACACATGTCACAACTTAAATTTTTAAAATTGTATAATTTAAATATGAGCAATTTATTCTATATCACTCCAATAGAGAACACTGAGGTCTGAAGATACCTCAGCAGGTAGGACTTATCTGTCACACGCAATGTTTCCATCACGCAAAATATAAATGCTGAGGGATTCCCTCTCATAGCAGGAAGTTGGTAGGAAAATCAGGAAGTAAAAACACAAGCGTACAGTTTGAGGGTAGAAAGTCCAAATGCCAAAAGAATCGGCTAAAACTTGACCTCTTTATTTCATCTTTTTTTTTTTTTTTTTTTTTTTTTTTCTGAGACAGGGTTTCTCTGTGGCTTTGGAGGCTGTCCTGGAACTAGTTCTTGTAGACCAGGCTGGTCTCGAACTCTCAGAGATCCACCTGCCTCTGCTTCCCAAGTGCTGGGATTAAAGGCGTGTGCCACCAACGCCCGGCAATTTCATATTTTCTAAAACATGGAAATTACTTGGGACAAGGCAGTGCAAACATTTTTTATTTCAAAAGGCCTGTTAGAGGAAGTGTGGGCAGGGCACAAAGAATTTGAATAAACATTAACCCTGCTCATTTCAATAAGGAAGGGGGGCGGTGCTTAGTCATAGGGTGGCTCTAACCTGGCTCATTTATCTGTGAAACTCATTTACCAAAGTGGGAATGAGGTTGCCTTCAGTTTACTCAGATTAGGTATTAAATGTGGTTGAATCTTATTCAATAATTGAATGTTTTCCACTTCGCTTTGCTGGTGCATAGCTATCCAGAGTGGCAAAACCCCAAAATATTTATCCTGAAAGGTGGCAGGGCAAAATGATTCCCTTCTTTTAAAACTTGCATTGTAAAGATTAATTAAGCTACTGTGTAGTTATTTTCTGTACGTTATTGATTCAGGATTACTCTAAATGTGCTGAATTATTTACACACCCTGCACAGCCAATGCTAATTCAGAACATACCCGGTGGGACCTCGGAGCCCTGAAATGCTAAATGTAATCTGAGGATCAGTAACATTCCATTCATAAAATGTTTCACCCGCAGGTTAATGGAAATAAACAATAGGAAAGACAATGGGTGGATTATGCAAATACACTGAAAAGATTAAGCAGGGGAGGGAACTACAAGGACCCAAGTGGTGCTTTATTTAAATGTGGATTAAGCTTTAGAGTACACAGAATGATTAAAGCTACTTTGCTAATTTGCTAGCTGGTAAGAAGCACCATTGCTCAGGAAAGTCTATTAAAATAAATTGTCTAGAGGTGGGAGAACGGGGCACAGAGAGGCAAAATTAAGCGAGTACACGTTCAACAGTAAGTAAATGATGAATGCTAGATCTGGAAAATATTCATTTGCATTTATCTACACTGGAGAAGCTTTTATGAAACTAACAACTCCCCCAAACAAATTCAAATGCATTTCTCTTAAAAGGAAGAAAGCAATACAGTCTTTTATTCTTTCCTTTAAAATTTATTTTCGTAAACAAATTTCTACTTGGAACTTATGTGTTTATGTGCTTTCTAGTAATCCATTCAAATTACAGTGGGGGGGGGAGAACTTCTTTCTGAGGCCACTAGATAATTGAGTAGGACATCGAGATAAGCAAACTTCTTTCCAACTCATTAATTTGCAGGTTTCTAAGTCAAAATGGGGTGGCAGCATAACGACAGCCATCTGCCTGCTGTCTGGATCCTGGGGGGAGCTATTGCTTCAGAGATGGGGGGGGGGTGTCTTGGCTGAGTCTGGCTCAGCAAAGCCAGTGGCTGCAGCAGGGTGTACCAGCCCGTTTCTCATTGCTCCTTAAGTGGAGAGTAACAGGAAATAAAGATACACCTGTTAGCACCCCCGTGGCCACTAACTTTAGAAGGAGTCCGCTCCTTCCTGAACAGGCGTGTCTGGCCTGAGTTTCAGAATATCTCCCACTACCTGCCTTCCAGTTGCTGCTTTGCAGTCACTGTACATCAGACAAGAGACACTGGACACTAGCTCTTCTGAGAAAGTTCTGCACGGGGTTTGCATGTGTCCTGGTAAAACCAGTGGCTGTGTAGTGTCCCTAAAAGGGGGACTTGGGTAATACAGTGTGTGTGTCCGTCATGGTCTTCTTCCACATACCAATCTAGGGAGGCGTGAGAAAAACCATTTCCTTTTCTCCCGGAGCTAAATCTCAAACTTTACACAAGAAATTCTTAGATGTTACACAATAATCTTCCCTCTACAAGGACTCTGGGGTTTCTTCTTTATCCTTTTCGTCATAATTGATTCCTTACAAGTTCAAGACCTCGAAATCACAGACTTGGTAAAATTTAGCAGTTAAAGTCATGTCCAAACTAACTGGATATTTTCACTTCTCTCCAAGGTTCTCCACCAATGCCAAGTAATCGAAGCTGTAATCATTTAGCTCTTGGATAATATTAAATGTTTGATGTTTTTGTTCCTGCTTTTGTTTTTAAAGATACTGTTTTCCTTTCGGACGGCCTGAGGGTGCTCTAAAAGCTACACTTTCCTTACTTGAAAGGGTATGTATAAGGGTTCGTAGATGCTATTTTTGTTCTTGAGGGCTGTGTTTCAGCAGTTGGACTGAGCAGTCCCCAGGGGTTGGCACTTCTTGCTGCACCCACAGCACTGCATGAATGGCGGACCTCTTCTTACTGTTTTCTTGTCTCCCCCACTCCTTCCTCCTTTGACGCCTTTCCACCACCATTCTATCCTGATATTATGCTATCATTTTATTTTGATGTTATCTCTCTTTCCATCTTTCCCCCACTTATTATCTCATGGAATGTTTTACTGGTGTCATTGCTGTCTGTTTGTCTTCTTGCTTTTAGTTATTTCTACTTCCCAGGTTACTTCACACTTGCCTTTTATTATCCCCCAGATTCACTGGTTTCCAGCACTTGCAGCCCACATGCATGCCAGCATTTGCTCTATAAAATGATAGACCTACCATCCCTTTTGTTCCTTTCAGGCTCCACATATGGTGTGCTTTTATCAAAGAATTCACAAATCATAGAAATACATTTCACGTACAGAAATAAATAGCAACCAAGGTTTTAACATCCATTCTGAAAAACAGTTTTTTAGGCATGATGTGTGCTATTTCTGTGGATGTTGAGGAAAAGTACTTTTTCATGTTTATTAATCTCCAAATGCTGGTGAAATGCTGCCTGCTAAATAATATGGTCTTAGCAACTCTTCAATATCAGAATTATAAACAATTTTGTTTATTATCTTGTGGTTTTATTTGCTCATCCTCATTTACTGACTTAATCTTGTCTATTTTTCTACTGAATTAGATGTCTATCAGCATATCTACTAGAGAGAGGCCGCAGGAACATTGATCAGAACTTGAAAAGTAGGGGTGACTAAAACAAAATCTTCAGATTATAGGTTGAGTTTATTGTGATACCTTTGGCTCCTGTGTGGTGTGCATGGAATGAGGTCATATAAAGATAGGTTTATTCTAATTTTTATGCTGTTAAAAGCTGCATGTAGCATTGGCTTTTTAAGGTATTTATTCTGTTCTGTTCCTTAAGGCAATTACAAATAAGTTAGTTCTTAAAATTGCTCTACTTTTGTACCTGAATGCCATCTTGGGTACCACACAACCTCTCTGTGTCCTGGTTTCCATGGCAGAGTCTTGCTTTTCCTCCCAGCAGGGAAGAGGTAGTAATCCAGAGATGCCCTGTGCCTTATATTGATGGGTGGCAGCATGACAGTGACCCTTTCTAGTTACAGTCACTAATCACATCTCTTAGTGAATTGAAAGAGAAAAGCTAAAGGCCATTGCTTCATTTTAAAAAACTCTCTTAACTTGCTAACAACTTACAAAAACAAAATAAAATCTGTAAGTGAATTTTTAGTACCTAAGAGCTGCACAGGTAGTGCTCAGGCTCCTAGAGAATATGAAACACTATTCAAACTCTAGCCTCACCTCTGAGGTTAACATATATATTCTAATTTCTAGTTACTTTTCCTACTTTTGCAGTTTCTCAGCATGGGAACCCCAAGTATAATCCATAAGCTTGTATATGGAATAGCATCATCTTGATAGTAATTTTTGGCAAAATTCTGACTAAATATAATAGTTTACATTTGATACCTATATGTATTTTTACTTGCACAGAAGAATTTTTTTCCCTTAGGCTACAAAGATCTATTATACAATTCTGAATTACCAAATAGATGTCCTAATTAAATTTGATAATAAAAGAAATGTTAAATGATCAAGCTAACTGTTTTCAAGAAAGAAAATCTTGCCTAAATACACTTGAAAATACTGTCAGTGGTTATTAGATGCTAGTATGCTAGAATAAATTCAAGAGTATACAAACATTGGTGCAAAGAGAATGAAATAATAAAGTTTTTAGTGCTTGTTTTCAGTCCCTTTTAGTATTTATTTCGATTTAAGAGACTATTAGAATACTTACTAGACTTTAAAAGCACTTTATATTACCATTTTATCATATGTATCATCATTTGAATATAAACAAAGCATGACAATTACATTTAATATATGAAAAAGTAGTCTGACTAACCACACTTAAAATTTACAACAGGAGTTGTAATGAAAGGTATGATTGCCTCATTAGGAAGTGTTCAAAATTACCTTTTGACTTTTTTAGATAACTGTACTTGCTCCTTGCTAATAATATGTTAAGGAATAACATGTTAAGGAAAAAGATCCAAGAACACATTTTAGGAACCCAGCAAAGAATGACCTGTGTCTTCTTTTTTTTCCAAAACTGATGAAAGTTTCCATGAAGCATTCGTTCTACTAAGGCAAAGAAGTTTCTTTAGTCTTTGTAGAGGTCACCACATCATGTTCAGAAGATCACAATTATTTTAAAGTTTAATTAGCAGTTTTTACAGAGCTCCAAAATTGTGCCCATTCATAATGAATTTTTCTTATGATTTTTCACATATATTCAGAAGACCTGGGTCTTCTCCATTATACAAGACAAACTTTGTTTACCAAGTGTACAAGGACTGTAATCCTGATCTGAGACAGCTGCCGTAATGGTGTTGTGGATCCCTGGAGGAAAAGTGACAGTCACACTGAATCCTGGTGACCTGGCCTATGGGAGGTTTTGATGTGCACAAATGAGGCTTAGACGGGAGGAACCAATACTGAAGGATTAAGTCCCAGTTGTGAAGTGCCGACTCATTACTTCCCACAAGTTACTCAAGGCCCCTCCCCCTTCCCAGGAACACTCAAGTCTGGGGCGATTTGTGTAATTTGTTTTTAGACTTTATTTTATGCAGCGTCTCTCCTCTCTTCTCCTTTGCCCACCCCACTCCTCTCTTCTCTCTGTAGGTTTTAATGAAGGACATCGCCACTCCCATCCCCGCGGAGGAGGTGAAGAAAGTAGTCAGAAAATGTCTGGAGAAAGCTGCCTTGATCAATTACACTAGGCTCACAGAGTATGCCAAAATTGAAGGTCAGTGCCCTGAGCAATTGCCGAAGTGGCTGTGAGAGCCAACAATGCCTATTAACTGAATTTTCTCTGAGAAGTCCTTTTCCTCCCTGAACAATCCTGTGCAAAGGGAAATGTCTCATTAAAATCTCAGCTGGCGAACTGAAGCGCTTTTTCCTATTCATTGCTTTAATATGCCTCCTGGGACTCGGCTTGAATGAAAGACCCAGGATCCGTGCTTAAGTTGTCCTTTGTTCTTATTTTGAGTTTTCAAGAAACCAAAAGGTGTTTTCGTGGGTTGTATTTTTTGACATTACTGTAAGTATGTCTAACATTTAAATGATGGACTGTGGATTCCTTACTGATTGGTGTCAGTGTAGCATTATGTAATTTTATTTTCTGATCTGCCCTGTCACTCGGAAGAGGGAGAAACTTGTGGATTGTTGTGAGCGCTGACATAAGCCGGTAGAACTTCCTGCCGCTTCTAATTGCTTGCTCTATATTGATGCATTTCAAAGATTAGACCTCTTGAGAGGACTGTGCACTTTTTTCTCTTTCTTCAGTTTTTAGTCATTAAGGACACTGATATTTTAAATGTTTAGAGATAAATAGATGGGAAGTTGCAGCAGAGTCACAAGATCAGATTTTATTTTCCAGTCTTTTAACAGATGGTTTTAAAGTATTGAAGGTTTGTTCAATTATTTGTCCAAATCGTTTGTTCAGATGATCATAAAACTGACTTATCTCATGAATGTATCATTACCAGAGAGAAAGGAAAAGTTTGTGTCTTGCTAAATGTTTATATCTTAAAATAGTAGGTAGTCATCCTGTAGGTGAAGTTTGGTAACTTTTAACAGTTTAAAATTCTGCTTAGTAAATGGTTAGTTTAGGAACTAATTGGTATTAGAATAATTTTATCAATTTTCAGTAAATGAAAAAGATAGATGCTGTTCTGTCTTTTTTTCTTTCTGTCTTCCTTTTTTTCTTCAAATCTAGACAAGCTCACTAACAAGCATGTGATAACCAACCTCCTGAGTGATTAACAAAAAAGCCATCTCATCACCATAGCAACCAATATTATATCACGAGAGGAACAACATGAAACCTCCTTAGTTACCAGCTTAACATCATTAATTATGGTATCATGTTGAGTTAAAGCAAATGCAGTGAACACCGGTCATTTGAAGGAAGTGGAAGATGAACACTTGGGTTTTCACTCTTGAATACTCCATCATGTCGTTTTCATGTTTGGACTTTTGAGTGTTCCAAACATGATTGAAAGAAGTGGTATACAAACTGACATTAAAACCTTTCAAATATCTCAGAGGAAAGTTTGTGGGGACCTTCCTTCAACCATGATAGTATCATTTTGTACAAATACATTTCCGATTTAAAAGTCACTGAAGGAAACTTTCCTTTCTGAGCTCTTCTGGTAATGTTTTCCTGCTGTTCAAGAATGCTGAGAGCAGGACACACTGCAGTTCTCCAAGTTGCTCGGGAGTTTATAGCCGTAGAAACCACTGTAAGGGAACTGGAAGAGCTTCTTTTATCTGTACATAGAGAAGTCTGTCCTAGGACCAAATGGAGAGGAAGCAGGGATCCTCCCGTTGTCTCCTTTCCTAGACTCATCTTGAGTTCAGTGTGGCAATATTGTAGAAAATGGATCCCAGCAATCCACTCAAGAACTGCCAAGCTGTCTTACTTCAAAAATGCAAAATATTTGCTCATTCACAGATGAAAACTCATATGCTTTTCAATTTCTACTTCCATCTTTCCTATTTTTATTTCATTTCTAAAGTGATTTTTTTTAATGTTCAGACCAGACCAAGAACATATAAAATGATTTAGAAATAGGAAGGCAGGCTATTTTCTTTGCTTGCTTAGCCTTAAATTCTCTTTTCTTATGTTTTAGGGCCTGCAGAAAAGGAAACAGGTAATGTTTCTGCATGCGCACGCTACTCTTTCTAATGTGGTGGTATATGACTTTTTAGAAACATTTCTTTGAAGTACTGAGGTCATAAAAATTAGCATATATTTAATGTATATAAAAATACAGCCATGGAACCATTCACGATGTATACTACAAACCTGTCCACCACTTCCAGAAGTTTCCTCCCACCCTCTTCATTATTGTTATAACCAGGTTGGGGGGTGGGGCATGTCTGCTCATAGCACTTCTTAAGTGTACAAAACAGCATTGCTGACCAGAGGTCATGGTATGTCTATGCAGCTTACTGATTTTTTTTTATTTTAGACTTTACACAACATAGGTGATGCTTTCCTGCTTTCCCTACCATTCTTCTACTCTCTCTTTCCCAGTATTAGACGTCACTCAGTGGTGTCATGCAGTACTTGCCTTACTATAGCTGGTTTGTTTTGTTGACATGATGCCTGTCATGTACATGTTGATCACAAAGGGTAAGAATGGGGTTTCCTTTTGTCTGCATATGTCTTTGTCAGTAGACACTGTTTTCTTGATTTGGTTATTGTGGATAATGTTGCAGTGAGATGGAAGTAAAGATATCTGAAGATTTTTATTTCTGTTCTTGTGGATGTATAACATCCTCCTCCATATTGCTTTCTAGAGTACGGGTACCAGTTTTCACTGGTACCCGTGGTATCTAAACTCTTCCCTTGATGTCCTTGCCCACCACTTGGTACATCAGGCAGTGGGTTTTTTGTGATCAAGGTTCTAGAGCAGGTAATATTTCATTATGATTTCATGATTAGTGACACTGAACATTTTTCATATAAACATGACACCCATTGGCCATTTGTAGGCCCTCATTTGAGAATTCTGTTCTTTTGCCCATTTGGATTGGGTTATTTGGGGCTTCTGCTATTGATTGGTTTGAGCATGGTTTATATTTCCAATGTTAGCGCTCTCTCAGATATGTATTTTCTCTCATCCACAGGCTATCTTTTGATTTTTTTCTGCCTTCCTGCTAGTTGTTTGTGTCGTCTTCTTTCCCTTCCTGCTGGTTGTATGTGTTGTATTCCTTCCTCTTGCTTGTATGCTTTGACATTTATAAGTAGCTCCCCTGTCAGAGCACTTGTTTGATCACTTTAACTAGGATTCTGAAAATACTTGGATTTTTAAAACAACTATTGCTAATGCTTTGTAGGAGAACTATATGCTATTTTCCTCTGAAAGATCAGCAGTAGTTTTTATATGAATTCAAGGCCCGAAACCTAAGACCATGTTAATATTATACATTATGTCTTAAGCATCTCATTTGGAAGTGGTTACTAATACTTGAAGGGTTCTCACAAACAGAATCGAGAACAATCTTCCTTCATTACTCTTGAAAGCTGGCATGAGAGTAAAAAGCAAAACTGCTATTAAATAAAATGAAGATGTTCTTATCTCAGAACAAATGAGCAGAGGCACTTGTTCAGATGCCCCATGTGAGATCCCTGCCTTAAGAAGGTGTGTGTGTGTGTGTGACTGTGTGTGTGTGTGTGTGTGTGTGTCTGTGTGTGTGTGTGTGTGTGTCTGTGTGTGTGTGTGTCTGTGTGTCTGTGTGTGTGTTTGTATGTGTGTCTGTGTGTTTATGTGTGTGTCTGTCGGTCTGTGTCTGTAGGTGGGTATATGTATGGGTGTAGATGTTTCTGAATTAATTAAACTGTAATTAATTTAACTGTGTGTACCATTTTCTATGCACTCTTCCCTGTCTCCTCTTCAAACTCTTTCAAGAAGAATGCTCATTGCGTTGTTCCTCTTGTGTCTGGTACCTAAACTGATGACAGAGTTGGTGTTCTGAACTTTTGTTAATTAGTTTCCATTTGAGAACAATGGTGCACCAGACAAGTGGTAAACCATACTCACATTCACTTGCAGTGTTACAGACAAATTCTCCTTTCATTTTAAAGCTCACATCTTCTACTAAAGAGGCTCTATTTCTTGTTGAGGAGCAGGAAGCTTTTTCTATTATTTTCTAGTACCTGAGTTCTGAAAGGTGACAGGCACAAAACACTGAGACACAAGAGGTGGTGGGGGGAGAAAGACACCCTACAATAGTTACTGATGGTACTTGAGAAGAAATAAATAATTAGAACAAAATGAGATTTTTATCATACCCACTCATGACAGCCCACACAATATCGGTAGTCCCATGTTCTTTAGCAAACTCTTTCAAAATAGGTTGTGAAGCAAGCAAAATGGCCCCCTACAATATATAACATGGTTGTTCTGAAAACTTTTTATCCTAACCTACTAACAAGAAGTAGAGGAGTGTCTATCTATGCCTTTCCCACTTCCATAGAGTACAGAAGTCATCCATCCTAGACTAGACTCAATCCAGATCCTTACCCTCTGGGGCTCTGTTTTCTCTGTGAAATAAGAAGAGAGCTGAGGGCACCCATGAGCAGAGGCATTTTCTACAGATGCCTCCTGTGGCTAAGGAGAGGAGGAAGAGGAAATGATGCTTGCCACATAGCTCACTGGCCCTGACAGGACATCTTCCCTTCACTCCTGTTAACTCTACCTCCACCATTCACCTGGATAACTCAGCAGCGCTAAGAAAAATATTTGTGTTAAAGTTACATGCACATATATAAAAAATAAAAATAAGTATATTATTGATATAGGTGAATTGACAGAAAGCTGAGGAAGGTTCTAAATCAATGAGAGAGTTTTAACAAATATATATTCCTTTAGTTGCATTTAGGGCCAGCCCAAAGAGAGTTCCTGGTAAACGACCCAGGGTGATTTTAAAAGTGAATACAAATAAAAGTATTAATTGTCTTTCTATTGAGGGATCCTTCAGAAAAAGTCTTTTAAACTACCCAGGACGAAAATTCTGCCCAAAATTCCTTATGATTTTGTGATCTATCAATCAGCATGTCCTAGAAGTTGGCAAAAATTAGGTATTTTATAGAAATCACTATACCACCATTATCAGAAAAAAAAGTTATACTACCATTATCAAAATCCTACATATGTGGGATATCGCCTCATCTCTGAGACCCAGAAATGTATTCTATTCTTTTTCTACTGGTGGCTGAGCCTCCAAGACTGTCAGACTCAAAATGATAGCTTTTTTTTTTTTGACAACTCCCTCAGCCATGTTACAAAAGCTAATAGTTAATATTGTTTTATCACCACTTTTCCCCAAAATAAAGTTACTCACTAATATGAGAAAAGAATTCTGTGCTAGGCCCTTTGTAAGCAGTTTATATATGTCACCTCATTTGCCCCTACAGTGAAACTTTGGGATGCACAGTATTATTGTTATGATTTCAGAAAACTGAGTAGGGGCCTGAACAACTTATCTAGAGTCACATTGCTCCTAAGTAGGCCACTAAAGCTCACTGTGTACGGGCTCCCCTCATGTGCTTTCCTCTCTCACTGCGTCCCTCTTGAAAAGTTTGTGTCATTACATTTTTACTTAGTGAAATTTGGCCGCATATATTTCAGTTGTCCTGTTAAAGATGCTTATGATTTGTAAACCTCTTCCCAAACTAGAGGGCCCAGTGTAGTTCCTTCATCCTACTTACCATCCTGTGCTGATACCGCCACAAGGAGAGGGGCTTGTATTGCAGTAACCAGTTCCTCCCCAGTTTAGAGTGAAGCCAGGCACAGCACATGGATGGTACCTGGTAAATATTTATTGAATGAACAAATGAGCTTACAACACCGACAGTTATCTGGCTACTTACAGCAGAAAGAACATCCACGAGCTGGCAAGCTGCCTTGTAAAAGGTCATTCAAACCAATCGCTGAATAATTAAAATATAGGGCAAAAACTAGCCACTTAAAAATAACAGGATTGAAAAATAAGCCGGAGTCACCTGCTGCTATGACAGGAGAATGGCACTGGGTCAGAGACGACAGAGGTTAAGCCTCATATTCGGTTTCCATTTCCACTGTTTCCTGACCCCCCATGCTGCTCAGTTGTGATTCTGGTTTCTTCTATCTTTTAAGACTTTTAGTTGTCCATGGGCAGCACAAGTGTGTAGAAGAGAGGGATTTTAGGATCTGGAGATAAATTGGTGAAAGCGAATAACCTCTTTCAATGTCTTTCCTTCTTGGGTATTGCATGTTTCCTTTAAACGTTGAGCATTTGAAATTTTGGAAAAGCAATTCTTATTAACTTGGGGGCTATAAAAATCACTAGTCATTTAGGTTCATATTTTTTAGTACTTCATGAGCAATCTTTGATTTGCATCATATCCAAACCAAATCTTTTTAAAATCTGTTTATTTTGTACTCTTGAGATTAATTTATTATAATCTAGAATTCATTGTGACACTTAAACCCTATCTTCCTAATTGTTTGTTCTTTTTAAATTAAATGGATTGATAGTACAAACTAGGTGTCATTTTTGATGAAAACTCCCCTTGTTTCTTTAGCTCAAGGTGTTTCTAATGGATGAGAGCAGCAGTCATATATATGTCATCGATCCCTGTGGAGTTCTAGAAACTGTGCTTCTTGTTGGAACTTACAATATAAGAACGCTTCTTAGAGCTGGCTTGACATGGTTCTTTGGCATAGATTTGGTAAAGAGGCTGCTTTCCAATTTGGAGGTGCCTGGCATGGATGGAACAGGAGAGGACTTTGCAGGAGAGGTAAAGCGCCTATCATCCCTCCCGTTGCTAGGTTCCAAGATCTAAGCCCCAGTGTACTCATTTCCAGAGTACCAGTTGAATGGCACAGAAATGCTTTCCCAGGAGACACCGTGCTTACTCTCTTTGAGAAAAGAAGTCTCACTGTGGCAGTCCTTACGTCATGAGGATGTGTGTGCCATCTGGGTGGCATTTTAATTTAGCACTGCATTGTCAAGCGATAGTGGTAAATAATAAATAAGTAGAGTCTGTTTTGCTTAAGATCTGTGTGCCAAGAAACAGAGTGTATATTCAAAATAACACCATTACTGAAAGTATTTTGTTAGCAGTGAATAACTTCTTACCAGTATATCTAAAATAATGATA